TGCAGTGGCCCAGAGCTGTCTGCACTAGCCTGCTTTGCCCGTGGCAGGGGCCAGCCCCAGCAGGGCTCCCTGAGCAGTCAGGATTTTCTCTGTGTCATTCTCAGCTGTTCCCTTTTGCCTCCTGCTTTGTGGTTCATCCTTATTGTATAAACCAGGACACCCCTCCTGGGCTCTGTGGCGTCAGTGAGTGTGTGGGTGCAGGGGTGGGATGGTGACAGCTGGTTTCTGCTGAAGCTGGAGAGCTCACAGCCCTGATGCAGTGTCTTCTCTGTGCACAGGCTCTACTGCCTCAAGATTTATGGGCTGTCATCTCTCTGGCGCTTGTTCCGTGGGAAGAAGTGGAATGTCCTTCGGCAGAGGGTGGATTCCTGCTCCTATGACTTGGACCAGGTAGTGCTGCAGGGCCTGGGACTCCCTGCAGGATGCTGCCCATGGGCAATATCTGCTCTACCTTTTCTCCTGCTTCTTCTAATACTGAGACAGAAGCCACAGGAGACTTTGTGGTGCCCAGAACAAGTGCACACTCTGACACCCTGCATCCATAGAGTCATAGAATGGTGGAGGTTGGAAGGGATCTCTGGAGATCATCTAGGCCAAGCCCCTGCCAGAGCAGGGTCACCTGCAGCAGATCCCACAGGAACACATCCAGATGGGGTTGGAATGTCTCCAGAGAAGGAGCCTCCACAGCCTCTCTGGGCAGCCTGTCCCAGGGCTCTGCACCCTCACAGGAACCCTCACCCTCATGTTCAGCTTGACCCTCCTGTGCTCCAGCCTGTGCCCATTGCCCCTTGTCCTGTCACTGGGCACCCTGGGAAGAGTCTGGTCCTCCCTCCTGCCACCCCCTGGAGATATTGACCAGCACTGATCAGATCCCCCCTCAGCCTCCTCCTCTCCAGCTGAGCAGCCCCAGCTCTCCCAGCCTTTCCTCACAGGCAGATGCTCCAGCCCCTCAGCATCTCTGTGGCCCTGGGCTGGGCTCTCTCCAGTAGCTCCTTGTCCTTCCTGAACTGGGGAGCCCAGTGCAGTTTTCCAGATGGGGCCTCAGCAGGGCAGAGTAGAGGGCAAGGAGAACCTCTCTGACCTACTGGCCACACTCTTCTGGATGCATTCACAGCTCTTCAACCAAATGCTTGGACTCTGCTGCTCTGCCGTGTCCCTTCTCATCCCTGCATGTGCAGGGGCCTAACTCTGGCGAGTGCTGAGCCCCTGCAAGGCACCCTGGTGAGCTTTGATGGGTGCTGCAGGTGCTGGCAGCTCCTGGAGCTGGGAAGGGGGCTGGGGGAGGGAGGCAGTGTGAGAAGTGGTGCCCAGCAGTGTTGCCACAGCAACAGACGTGCCAGGGTTTCTATTAAAAGGCCCCGTTTCCCTCTGGGTGGGCTGGAGCTGGGCCCACACACTCTCACTCAAGCAGCAGAGGCAGCATTTTTGCCAAACCCTGGGAGCTCTTCTGGATTTCTGCAGTGCTGGGCAAAAGTTCTGCAGAGCTTGAGCTGCTTCATGCCAGCAGTTCCAAACCCCACTAAAATAATGCAGTAATATTTGGTGATTCCAGGGCCAGTGCCTCTCTCTCTGTTGCAACAGGTAACCTTGAGAGGGACTTTTGACAAGGGCTTTCAGTGAGAGGACAAGGGGGAATGGTTTAAAACTGGAGGAGGGGAGGTTTAGGTTGGACATTAGGGGGAAATTCTTTCCTGTGAGGGTGGTGAGACCCTGACCCAGGTTGCCCAGGGAAGCTGTGGCTGCCCCATCCCTGGGGGTGTTGAAGGACAGGTTGGATGGGGCTTGGAGCAGCCTGGTCTGGTGGGAGGTGTTCCTGCCCATGCAGGGGGTTGGAACTGGATGATCTTGAAGGTCCCTTCCAACCCAAACCAATCTGTGATTCTATGATTCTCACACCACAGCTACTTTCCTGTTTCTTTGGTGCTGGGAAGGGGAGAGCCTCTGTGCCAGCAAGGCAGTTTGTGTCAGGGCTCAGTCCTTGTGTACTTTGAGGAGAACCAGTTTGGCACTTCAGGCTTCATCCTGCTGCTCCAGAGGCCAGTGGGAATGACAATGTTGGCCTGGGTGGGAAGAAACATTCCAAGCAGACATTGAAAGACTTTTGGAGATGCTGAACAACTCCATTGGAGAGATAGAGGAGGGGAGAAACAACTGCTGGGAAGAGAATGGATTGGGTTATGATCTGTTTCTGGTTACGTGACTAAATGTGGGATGTTGATGCACCTCTGGGACAGGCTGGGTGTTTCCCTTTCACACTGCACCACGGCCATGATCTCTCTTGGCAGCAGTGACAGTGCTCAGTGCTCCTGTGGCCTCGCTTCTCTGGAAGTGGTGACTGGAAACTGGAGACTCAGGTCCCTGTTAGTCATAACTCAGCACTTCTCCCCATTGGAATTAGTTAGACTGAAACCAACTGGGCTGGCCCAGAATAAAAATCACTCCTTCTGTGGGCAGTGGAACTGATGACACCTGCTTTCCTATGGATTTTTCTCCTTCATCCTGTCAATATTGCTCCCCCCAGCCCAGTAACTCCAGCTTCTTTCTCTCTCCCAGTTTCCCACCAAGCAAGGGGCAGGAGTCCTGGGCTTGGACTCACCAGCTGGTGAAAAAAAAGACCAATGGCTTTAGAACTTGCAGGGACAGAGGGTGGACAAACAACCTGATGTTATCACTCTGTGTCATAAGGGAGCTGGCCTGAAATAGGAGATCTCGAGTATTGTGTGTAAAGGGAAAAATGCTGTCAGGATCCAGCTGATTTATCTTTCTAGACATACTCCTGTGATCAGGAGCCTTCTGAAAAGGCCCAGTGAGAGAAGCAGCACTGAAAATATTGCAGGCAACAGCACTGTGCACAGAGGCAGTGAAAAAACACCTTAAGGAGTCTTGCAAACTCACGTTGCCTCACAATTTCCTATTTTATTTTGATTTTATCTTACCATTGCTCTTCTAATGATTGTGTTTTTCTTTTTTCCCAGTTATTTATTGGCACTTTGCTCTTTACAATCCTGCTGTTCCTCCTGCCTACAACTGCCCTGTATTACCTGGTGTTTACTCTGGTAAGATTCAGCCCTTGAAGCCAGTCAGAGGTGGTCTCCTGAGACACACACCAAAGGTTTCCTGCTCATTTACTGTCATCCACAAAGGAGATATAAATCTGGGTGTCCCAGGAAGGGTTCTCACACAGCCTGTGTAGCTCAAGCAAGTGGAATCCAGGACGTGTGTTTGTGTTTCTCCCAAGGGAATTCCCAGCAAATCCTGGTCAATAGGACACAGAAGCATTTTTTTTTTATCCCTCCATCCCACATCTGGGGTGACGGCCCCTTTAGTTTGATCAAGAACTTCTTTTTATTTCCAGGAAGTTAACTTGCTGTGTTAAATACTTTCAGGCAGTCTTTGTTCATTGGGTTGGACTTCTTTCTTTTACTCTTCTTCCCCCAATATGCTCAGTCCTCTCTCAGGAGCAACATTTCCCATGGACAGTGGCCATCAGATGGTTTCAACACCTTTCTTGAGGCCTCTCTTTTCAGATGAGGGTGGCAGCAAAAATGAAGGCAGCCTGACAAAAGGAGGTGCTTTCATCAGGGGACAGAAAACACTGAGCAGGGAGCTCGTTTTTGACTCCTTTGCTCTTGGTTAGATGCTCTGCCTGGGGTTTCTTCAGGCAGAGACAAGGTACTTCGGTTCACTGGTGGAGAGAGAGGGAATTACACTCACTGGTACAGAGTGAGGGGGTTTATCCACATGGAAGCCTGAGTTCTCCCTTTGGGACTGTGGCTGTTGAAGCTGGAACAGCTCCCCTGTCCTTGCAGGTCACAGCCTCGGGATCTTCCTTTCAGTGACACCCCTAAGCCAAGGTTGTGAAGGAACCTCACACAGGATCTGGCTGCCCAGGGCTTTGAGACATCAAACCCACCCTGGGAGGCCTTAGCTTAGCACACAGCAACATCAGATTGCAGATCAGCTCATGAGTTTGCAAGTGTTGCATCTCCTTTTTCTCCAAGACCTTCTTATCAAAGCCTTTCCCTGCAGCTCCGGTTGCTGGTGGTGGTTGTGCAGGGCCTGATCCATCTCCTGGTGGACCTGATTGACTCTCTGCCTCTTTATTCCATCATCCTTCGGCTCTGCAGATCCTACAGACTCGCAGGTAAGTCCTTCAGCTCTGCTCATGCACAAGGGGAAGGATTTTGCATGATGCATTTAATGATGCAGAGGGTTACTCTGAATAGAAGGATGTAGGGAGGGGCAGGAAAGAGACCAAAGCTCAAGCCATGAAGTTGTTGACACTGATGAGCAGTTACTGCAAGGAGCACATGGAGTCACAGGATCACCAAGGCTGGAAAAGACCTTTAAGATCAAGTCCAGCCCGTGACCTGACACCACCACATCTCCAGACTAATATCACTAAGTGCCACCTCCAGCCTTTCCTTGAACACCTCCATGGATGGTGCCTCCACCACTACCCTGGGCAGTCCATTTCAATGTCTGATCACCCTCTCCATGAGGAATTGCTTCCTAATATCCAACCTAAACTTCCTCTGGAGCAGCTTCAGGCCTGGCCCTCTTGTCTTGTTGCTGGTTGCCTGGAAGAAGAGCCCAGTCCCCACCTGACCACAACCTCCCTTCAAGTGGTTGTAGAGAGTGTAGGAGGGTCCCCCCTGAGTCTCCTCCAGGCTAAACAACCCCAGCTTCCTCAGCCTCTCCTCATCAGACTTAACCTCCAGTCCCTTCACCAGCTTTGTTGCAGGGTCAGGATGTCAGTGGAAAAACATTTGATGCTGAAGCAGAATCAGGAGCAGATTTACAAAGCCTGTGGCAACTAGAAATGACATCCAGGCAAGCACCAGTCACCTGGGTTGGAACCAGGTGATCTTTAAAGTTCCCTCCAACCCAAACCAGTCTGAGATTCTATGATTAAAACCACTATGGAGAGAATCTGTGCCTCCTGTTGAAGATGTGGAAGGGTTCACACATCAAGAAAGGTTAAAGCCTCCATTTCCAGCAAGTCAGTGCTCAGCCAACAGAGCTGAGGAGCAAATGGCCCAAGATTTTCTCCACCATGGATCTGATGTCCTTGTTTGTTTCTTTTCAGCTGGTGTGAAGTTCAGAGTCCTTGAGCAGCAGGAGGGAAAACCTCTTCGGCTCCTCATGCAGGTGAGTCCCTCGTGCCCTCAGTGACATTTTCTGCTGCAGGTCACACTGACCCCAGGCTCCTTCTCTCTTCTCTAGCAGTTCTGAAACTGGTTCCACTGACAGGCCCTGCTTAAAAGAATGTCAGCTGGGAAAGGCTGGAACAAGGGGGGTGCTTTTCACATGGCCATCACTGGCTACTGCTTTCTCATCTCTTTTATTACCCTGCCTGGATTCTGTGTTTAGAGAAAATGCAGCATCTGGAATGGTGGGACTTGAAATGGGAAAAGTCTGAGCAGCACAAAGCTCTGTTTCTTCTGGAATTAGGACTTCACGTCGCTTCCTGGCTCTCTGGAGCTTTGCTTGAGTAATTGCTGAACACAGAGAGGCAAAGGGAGGCAGCTAAACCATCCAGAATGAGGGTGAGGGGCCTGTAGAAGGTGTTTCTCTCCAGATGTGCTGAGAAGTACTACTGTGCTGCCAGCAGGATGAGGGCCTAGGTAAGACAAGAGAGGGAAGGGCCTCCCATTATTCTCCTGAGTTGCTCTGGCAAGGTGCATAAAAAAAAGTTACCTGGGCTTTTCTATCCTCCCGTTTCCATGCTCTGTCATCAGATGTACCAAAGGAAATACTTTTCTGCCAAGAAATGGTGTGATGGTAGCAGTGAAGTTCTCATTACACACTCAGCAGTGTCTGGGCTATTTCCATGACCTGACTTAGTTGTATCACAGGTCACTTTTCTTGCTCTCTCCATCCCAGGAGGAGAGTCTGCAGGTTGTGTGCAGAATGTATAAAACCCCTTGGGCACTGGGGGAGTGTGTGGGAAGGGATGAGCTGCAGCTTCCCAGACCTTTTGCTTTTTCCATCATGGTGCAGCCCCTGGATCAGCACAGAACCAGCTCATCAGCTCACAGGAATTCCAGAGAGAATCCCATCAGCAGATGTCTTCTAGGGCAAAACCAGCATTTCCCAGGTCCTGCCTTTCAGCAGGGCAGAGGTGTAAGAACCAACATCTGTCATTCTCCATGACTCCATAAAAAGAAAACCAGGCACAAGAGCTGCTGAGCAGCTGATTTGGCATCAGCCTGTTTGTGAGATGGGGGGGTTGCTTCTCCAGAGGAAAAAGATGATGACTTGGTGAGCAGAGGCCGTGAGTCATTTGAATATGATGAATTTTCCTTGGACCACTGCAGAATGATCCTTTTCCTGTCTAGAATACAGCAGAAGTCATCACATGAAGAGGTGGAAGTGCTTTAGTGGGTGTCTCTCTTGGCCTTCCGCTCAAATAATAATGAGCAGGGAGCTGGTGAAAGTGAAGGATGGGTTGGTGTCAGAAATCCTG